TGAGTTTAAACGACCATATAAGGAAAGCATACTTTCCTATTTTCCCCTTTTGACCCTAACTCTATTGTGACTCACGTTCAGCCCGACTCTTAAGAAAACTCAGGAGTTGTTGAAGACATGGAGGTGGAAGTGGTAGCTGCGGTGCAGCTGGACGAAACTGATCCAGAGGACGACATACAAAGTGGCAGTCTTTCCACGCCTGTCACCAAGTCGCGCAGCTTTCAGCCGGGCTTGCTGACTGTTGATCCGAGTCTTATGCGCGGCATATCGCTTTCAGAGACCTTGCAGAATCTCGTTCCTTTTCGGCAACACTTTCGACGTTCGTGTTGCGGTTCAACCGAAGGGCAATCCTGCCTGCCTTGTTGCGAATCCCATCTACGCATATCTCAACGTGGACCTAAGCCCAGTTAGCAAAGGAAAGCTAGCCCTGTTGCCCCAACTCTAGGTCCCTAAGCACCAATGCCCCTGAAGCTTCGACCCTTGTTGTAAATAGTTGGTAACAGCATTCCCTGGTGGTCCCTCATAAAAACTTTCGTATAGTACAGCATGGCATGGTAAGGTAGAGTATAGTATAACATACCGCACTATACGATTAACTTACTAAGGCATGGTGGACGCCTCTGGCGTTCCAAGAAGTACCGATCAGCTGCCTGGTCGTCCTCGCAGCCAGCTGAGCACTTTGATATCTTTCTCTCCCACGCTTGGGCGACGGAGTGGCACTGGCACCCGGGATGATCAGAGCTTCGGGTTTAAGGGTTTAGGGTTTGGGTTTAGCACTGACGTTTGGGATGATCTTGTTACTTTCTGGGTCGGCTTCCGGGCTTGTGGATACGGTGTGTTCATATTAGTCGCTTTAAGTATACATGTATCCATAAAGAAGACAATTAGATGCGCATATCATAATCAGTCCGCCTGCGATGATCGCTACCCGCACCATCAACACGGGAAGCAGAGCCAGTATTCAACATGAGGATCCATTATGTTGGAAAGATCAGGAAGTGCGAGCCCACAATCCTGCACCCAAAGCCAAAACCTCCCGACAGAGCTGCTGCGGAATTCTAGAGTTCAGGCAAGAATACGAGCTTGGTATGTTACGTGTGCGGCTGCATCGAATTCGAGCCTGTCCCACACGTGGACCGTCTGAATGTCTGCACAGAATTTTGGAGAGATCTATAAAGCAGAGCCCTTGAATGCTTTCCAGTGAAGGACCCTTCAGTCGAAGTGTTTTGCAAGCATGAGTGTTCCCGAGCCCTGCTTGGAACCTGGAAAAGCTTCCAAAGCCAATAGAACCCAAAGAGGTTTGAGAGCCGCCGAGGAAGTACTTGTCCCTTTCGCTCCAGACTGGCTGGAAGCACGCTTTACTTGCCTGGCTGGCAACTTCTGCGGCCACGGAGCCACTCTGGGTTTTCAGCACAGTTCAGGGTTTAGCTCGTTGTTGGCCCGGGGTTCGTGGTTTGCTATCAATTCTCTCTCCTACCTTTTCGGAGACTTCCAAACGGACCGCGGATTAACAATCGCCGATCAGTCTTCTGGCCTGCTGCGTTGCTTTTGGGGTCGGTTTGAAGGGCTTCCTACAAGCTTTGAGCCCTGATAGAGAGCAGCAAAGCCTAGCAAGTAATCCTGAAACCACACCCTCAAGGATCCTAACCCCTAAACCCCTAAGGCATAGCGGTAAGAAATGTCACTGCTTAACCGAATGAAATCGGAGACAGGTTGCTCTGGTGCTTCGACGTCTTGCCCACACACGGCTTGTACAAGGCACCCCTGAAGTCTTTACTGGTGGGCCTTTCGCATGCTTGCAGGGACTAGGGTCTTAGCGAGCCCTCCAAAGTCTCATCTTGAGGGACTCTTGGGGGGTTTCCGGCACAGGGTGTAGAGTCTGGGATTTACGGTGCAGGCTCATTCGTCCCGACACCCCGAAGCTGAATCCCACATCCTTCGCCGCATATCCAACGGACCATACCCTCTGTACTCTCGGGCGCCTGGAATATTATCACAACCCATCGGACAATCCTGCTCGGGCTTTGTTATTGATTCAAGATGTGCGAAAACTGATGCATCTGTCCAGGTACCTGAGCAACGCAGCACTCCAGTAGACATGCCGGGGCTTATAGAGATCTAAGATATCGGGATTTGGGGGTGTTGCACTCCCGACAGTCCACATGCTGTCCAAGAGCCATTCCCAGAGCGCGCCCTCGATGCACCGAAGACCATCCCATGAATGCAACACGACACCGTGGAGGAGCACCACTTCGGGAGGTGGCAAGGCGAGAGGGCGGGAAGACGATACACACCCCAACATGTCCACGGGCATGCTCGAAATTCCGGTGTTTCGAGACCACATCGTGGCCCCCCGAACTTGAGCGATTTCGAGTGATGCTCAGCCAATTTCCCCACCCACCAAGTGCCCGGTGGACGCGGCGAGCGCGGGTCTGTGGAAAGAACGCAGTTGTTGAGGAAATGCATCACGGGCCACAGCGGGAGTCGCAGAACCCAAGCACCCGCACCAGTACTAACTTCATTCCTCTACTCCGAACGTCAGAACTCCCCAGTCCTATTGACTGTCTGTGGAATTCGCTTCGGGTTGCGATGGGAGGATCAAGTTTGCGACTGTCCTCTGGTTTGGTTCATAGGAGCGGGGACCAAGACACAGGTGCTAAGGTTCTCCGTAGGCAGGTGTTTTGGAAACCCTTGCTGCCTCCCTGCCTCTTTTCAGCGAGCTAGTTCCCAAACGGCGAGCGAGAGAAATTCTGCAGCAGTTCTCAGGTGCAGCATCCGGACTTCGCCCAAGACGTTCCCTTCGGGGGCTGGGCGATGTTCCTCGCAGTGCCTATGTCTGTCTTGGCACTGGCTCCTTGACACCCAAGGCTTCGGGTTGGAGGTTGGAGCTCGTCCCTCGTCAGCTTGCCAGGGCTCTGGAGTTGTTACGAAGAGGCATTTTGAGTGTCAGAAGTAACGGGCACTTTGCTTCATGCCGGCAAGCATCCATTCACATGTTGTCGAAGAGGAGGTTCGCGGCATTTAGAACTATGACATGGACTGTGCCTGTTTGAAGATGTACTGCCTCGCGGCTCAGTCTCTACTCGTTCAAGACCAGCTGCTGTCGTTATTGACGCAAGTTACTGCTGAGGGATATTGGGTATCATTAGAAATACCATGATCCTTGCTACCATTGCTGCTTTCTCCGTGTATTCGTGCTTATGAGTCAAGTCGTTTTTGTCTGACGCCTCGGGCACAGGGTTGGAGGCCTAGCGATTCAGAGCGCCCTAAACCAAAGCCCTGGCCCTGCCTAATGTAAGGGCCTTAATAATTAGAATAGGGTCTTGTGGTAGAATATCTCTAATTACAATAAGGAACCCCAAAAAAATATAGGTAATCATCAAGGCCCCTATATGAAACATCCCTGAACCCTCAAAAGACCTAAACCCTGCAGCCGCAAAGGTCCTGGCCCCCCACTGGCCCAACTTCTGCCACCAGCCAGAGCTCTGCTTCTTAGACGTGGGGGCCCTGGCGTTCAGGGCCCCAGGGTCTTCGGGTTTGTGCGGTTTCGGAGGTAATTTTGACGTCGCTTGGCTTTGGTCTATGTAAGCATTCACCGAAGAACGATTCATAAACCCGAGCATTGCTGCGGCTTGCCAGCGGTCTCGAAATAAAAGCCCTGGGATCACGACGCAGATCTAGCGGTGCATCACGACGCAGATCTAGCAGTGCTTCTATTCCGAGTTGCAGAGGGCCTACACTCCTCTCTAAACCCTGAAACCTTCACCTTCCCTCAGACTCCAAAACCCCTTAATTAAGGAATATACCCTGAATCACATTAGGGGTCCTATTATAATTTAAGGTATATTCCGTAATTAAGGGGTTTTGGAGTCTCTGGGTTGAGGTTGTGAGCATCAACCAGGACGACGAGAGCCTCAAGCAGCAGGGGATTTACTCCCTTGGGGGCACCTCGCCGTGCTCTAAGGTGGAACGGTGTCAACCCCAAACCAAAGGCTAAGCCAATCAACATAGAACGATAGATACCAGCCGAGATCATAAGTGGCCAAATTTTCTGAGAGGAATTGCTACAGAAAATTTGGTGCTATCGAACCACCCCTGCTTGGAACAGCGGTTCGCGAGCACCAAACTTCCCGAGAGAAAGCTCTTCAGAAAATCTGGTGCTATCGCACCGCTCCTCTTTGTCTTCATGCCTCCATACATGAATGAGAACACCAAGAAACATCATGATAATCCTACTATTCGTGTTCAAAGCATCACAACCATCCGGATCATCGCAGGAGTGCTGACCGTAGTGCGATATTGACGTTACTAGCAGCGCAACAAGTGGTCTCGCAATTATAAAGGTATGCAAGGACATATGATTGTCAATAGTTTATCATTGCAAAAAAGTTGCTGATGGTTTTGATGATTGTTGTTCTGCATTGTCTTTTTGATTGTTGAGATTATAGTGGTTGTTGTTACTGTTGTGTGCCACAGATACACGTGTTCACAACATTTCGGTGCCAGCTGGCTGCAAGTCCTCCGGAGTTTGTATGCATGGCAAGC